ATTTCTAATGATGTTCCATCGGTTACTTAACTTCCCAATGATGTTCCATTATTTTCATCGGTTATTTAACTTAACTCTAGTTTCTGTAGATATTAAATTAGAGAGTTCTGAGTGCAAATATTTTATAAATTATTTTGTAAAATAAGGTTAGCTGCAAAACAATAATAATAATAATTTGAGTGAAGTAATAAAAATTAGCAAGCTCAAGCTTTTTAAGCAGGCGCAGTAATAACGCACTTACTTCAGAAACAAAGGATTTATGGTTCGAACCCTACCTCAGGGCAAGTTTTGAGACATTTGCTGGGAAGGAGGCGTGAACTTACAATTAAATGCTCATCCGTGGTGTTCTGTGATGAGAATTTAAGGATTTCTTGGGTCATCTAAATAAAATTAAAAAAAACAAACAAAAAACTAGATCATCACTTAAATAAAGTTTCAAACCCATATTGCTTTTTTGAAAAAGCAATATGGGTTTGAAACTTTATTTAAGTGATGATCAGATTTGTAACAGATTTAAGAAAAAACTTGTAACAGATTTAAGAAAAGAGAAGCTTAACGATGTTATTATAAGTTTATCTAGTCCCGTATATATATATATATATATATATATATATATATATATATATATATATATATATATATATATATATATATATATATATATATATATATATATATATATATATATATATATATATATATATATATATATATATATAAATATATATATATATATATATATATATATATATATATATATATATATATATATATATATATATATATATATATATATATATATATATATATATATATATATATATATGTATCCTAAAAACATTAATGTAGATGACTATTCAGTACACATACTGCTAAAAGATTTAAAACACATTCTTAAAAGACTGTATGATGCACAAGCATCATACAGTCTTTTAAGAATGTGTTTTAAATCTTTTATACTTGTGCCAATCACATATAAATACTTGTGCCAATCACAATACTTAAGCAACTAACTAAGCTGACGTTCAGATGCAAGGCCAAAATGAAAACAGTGAACGAAGTCTAAAAAATAAAGAGCGCTTGTTTATTATTTGTATAGTATAATTAGAACTCAGAGAACTTTATAATAATAAAAACCTTGTAATAATGGTCTATAAAAAATTAGCAAATGTAAATTCGATCTATAAAAAAAAGGGAAACAAACTACTTCCTGAAAACTATCAACTTTTTTCGCTAACCTTCGCTGCGTCCAAAATCTTTGAAAAAGTTGTAAAGAATAAAATTTTAAAGCACATCAACGATAACAACCTGCTCTCTACAAATCAATATGACTTCCTTCATCATAAATCTTGCGTAACCAATCTAAGTGGCTTTTCATATTGTTTCATCTTTTCTAGCATTAAATTAGTTTACAGGTATAATTTTTCTCGACTTTTCTAAAGCTTTTGATTCCGTACCTGACAACAGACTTATGTTAAAATTAAAATTATTTGGAATAAACGGCAAACTACTACAATTCATTAATTAATTTTTAGTAGGTAGAAAGCAACGCGTTACTGCTAACAATACTAGCTCTGTCTGGGTTGTTATTCTCAGTGGTGTTCCTTAAGGTTCTGTTCTCACCCGCTCCTCTTTATTCTTATTACAAACAATTTTGCCCAACTTATTAAAACTTCTGAAATATTTTCCAACAATACTAAACTTTTTTCTAATACTTTGTCGCAGACTAATTTCGTTGATCTGCAAAAACAATCCTAAGTACAGTAAAATTTTGCAAAATAACCCAAGCATAAATGAAAGCCTAGGAAACCCAACTAAAGAGCGTGATTTAAGAGTCATTTTCCATCTAACTTCAAGTGGAGCACACATATTCAATAAGTTATCTACTACAAATTCTTGGTATGCTTAAAAAGACATTCACCACCATTGATTAAATAATGGCTTGTATTTTAAAACTGACGTCAGGGTTAGGGTTCTTCTTCTTGAGTTTATTTATGAAATAAAGTATATTGTGTTTTTTCAACGTTTAGAAAAAGTTTATTTGATCTGAACCAATTATTTACTTCATCTAATTAAATGTTCATGTCAGCATATATTTGAATAATATTGCAGTTAGATAAAAATAGATTTGCATTGTCTGCAAACATAATAGCATTTAGTTTTACTAATGCGTTATTAAAGCCAATAAGATAAATTAAAAATAAAAGCGGTCCTACGATTGATCCTTGAGACACTCCACACATAATATTCAGTGTTTTGGATTTCTTGTTTTGAACATATTGTTTCTTATTGGATATGTAACATTTTGTCCAATGATATAATTTATTGAATACCCCGTACCATTTTAGTTTTTGTTACAGAGTAAGTGATCAACGGTGTCGAATGCTATGGATAAATCTACGAATACTCCCCGGGTCAACTTATCATTTTCAAAACCATCAGTTGGTCAAAAAACCACCAGTTGGTCGACTATTTCAATAATGGCATGTTCAGTTGAATGTTTTTTTTAGAAATCCGAATTGTTTTAGATTAAAAAGTTTATTTATTGTAAAATAATAAAGATTCTATTATAAATTAAACGTTCGAAGTTTTTGAGAAAACAGAAAATACCGATATGGGTCTATAGTTTGATACATCGGCGAGATAATTTTTTTTATAAATTGGGTACTTTTGCAAGTTCAAGTATGTCAGAATTTATTCCTTAATTAAAAGATAGATTTTTTATGTGAAGCAAATGTTTTATAATATTTCTTTTGTTAGATATAAGGATATTACGGGGAATTTCATCAAACCTCAAAATTTGATTTTTTTAAAGAAAAATAAGCTGCGTCAAATTCAAGAAAAGTTAATTCATCATTTTCACAAGTTTTAAATGACGTAGAAGTTGGTATAGTTTTAATTGCGAGACTAATACCAACATTTGTAAAGTATTTATTGACCTCGTTAGATATTTTATAAGGGGAAAATATATCTGATTTATTATTTCTTTGAAGTAATACTGAACTTTTTTGTTTGACTTTGGCTCATTAGGTCATTAATTAAAGACATTAGGTCATTAATTATAGACCAATATATTCGATAGTTCATTTTTTTTATTAGTAATGATAAAGTTACATTTTTTAAATTTGTAAACTTTGGCTAAAGAACGTTTTTATCTGCTTTAAAAATGCATGACTGAAATGACGTTTCTAAGTAACTTTTTATCATCAATTGCTGTTTTTGATGTGTTTTTCACCCTAGTTGGTTTATAGATTAGGGGAAAGCAGGGCAACGTGGCAAATGAGGCAAGATGGGTTTTCATATAACAACTCAAAAAAAAAATCTTAAAATTGGGTGAAAACGAAACCGTATTTGAATCTTGTACTTTAAAACACCAATTGGTTTTTTTAAATATTATTAACTCAATATTATACCCATAAGTTTACTTTTTGTGGTTAAAAAAAATTTCTTAGTTTCGGTTTCTCATTATGGATGGTGCCCTTCAAATCAACTTCTTTTGAAGTAGTTTTTTGCGAATTGTGTTTATTTTGTGTTACTTTAGTTACAGTTATTTTTAGTTTTTAAAATTTTATAAAATTCGAGGCGAAAATTGCATAATAAGCCCCGATCACGTGACCAGATGACGAACTTATTAACTTTTTATTTTAATATTTATTTCAAATTGTTATATTTGCAAACTGAAAATTCATGCAGGCAATGAATCATTTTAATAACATAAACATACTGAAAAAGTGTTATCGCTTCACGACTGATAGTTTTGAAATAACTCTGGGCTTTCAAAACGTTCGCCATATTGCCCCGATTTCCCCTACTGGCACGACATTGTATCTAAAAAACATATCAAAAAAAAGATTTAGTTTTTAGAAAGTTGTGGTAATTCAGCGCTTCTAAAGTTATTTTTGTTATTTACTTCCGCGTACATGCAACTACCATGATGCATTGTATTTAAGGAAAAAGGTGCATTCAGCACGTTTAAAGTTATATCACAGGTTAAACTTAAGTATGTTGAAGACATCGGCCTTTTTTGAATAAATCTAAATTGGACTATCCTGAGAAGTCCATTTTGCAATAGGTTTTGTCGTCCTAAAAACTTTTCTGTTTAGAGGCTTGACGAGCTTACTTTCGCAGCAAGTTGTTTTTAATTCTTAATCAAATAATCTGAATTTTTTCTTTGTGTAAAACCTTCAAACTCATGCTCTTGAGTGCTTTTCTGACAAAAAAATGACTAAATTCGAACTTTTGGGCGAGACATCTATGGGATTAGCATCAATATTTTTTAATTAACTAGATGATCTCATTTGCCTTATTTATGTTAAAAAAAACTTTTATCTTTCCGCTGCCTATCGCTTGAGATAGTTATAGTCTCCTTGCATTTCCTCATTATGTCTCAAACTGAAGAGTTTGTGATTTATGCCAATTTTGAAACTGTTAAATTTGAATAAATTGGATTTATACGGAAAAAGTTCAATATTCTTTATCCCATTGTTTAATTTTTTACTCATTTCGAACTGATAGTTCGAAAGTAAAAGTAAAATTAATAAAACACAAATGCAATTTAATGTATCTATAATAAATATCACATTTTTTTAATAACTTCATTATTAAAAAAATGTGATATTTATTAGTTTATTAATTCTCAAGTTGTTGTTACTTATATCCGATGGAAATAAAAAGCCAAATCAATATTTAAAAATGTATAAATATAAATTTGTGCTAACTTTTATATCTTTTTATATACATTCACTAATTTAAAAAGTTTAACAAATCATTGAAAACAAATCAAATATCTTTATACTGAAAAATTTACAAACAAGGCTACGCTCTTCCGTAAAATAATTGTTAAGGGGGTTGCAACCTTTTAGTTTATTAGAGTTCAAATTAGTAAAAAAAAAAATAATTTACTAAAACAAATAATAACTAATTATAAAAAACTATATTAACGGATAATTATTAAAAACAATAATTAATTCAGATAATGAGTATCTTTAAGACACCTTTAAGACATTTTGGTCATATTAACTAAATTAAATAAAAAATATTTTCTTTAATAATTCTCTAAAATAAAAATAGTTGTAGTCTAAAATCCGTAACTCCCAAAACAATAAAAAAAAAATAAAACTCATTAATAAACACATTTTTTAAGGGATTACTTTGAAAACTGGAGAACTTATTTAAACACTCCATTTAGCTCTTTGAGTCCAGATCTTATCACCAATTTTTTGAATATATAGCCCGCTTGCGTTACCTTAAAAAAAATTCAAAAACGATGATTAAAAAACTTCATTTTAATGTGGAAAAAAAAATTAGAAAAATAAATTTTTACCCATCCATTGGTTTGTTCCGAACAAAACAACTTGGTCGTAGTTTCCCTCTAATGTTTTCAAACGTGTCCAATTAATATTTCTGGTGATGTTAAATTCAAATTCATGATTTGTAACAGCTAACCACTTTTTATAAGTATTATCAAATTTTAAATATGATTTCTGGTTTCTGTGTACGACGTATAGTTCTCCACTTAAAATGTGGTGACCCAGAACTGCTCCTACACGTATATCAATTTCTAAGATTTACAAAGAAATTTATATGTTAATTATTGAAAAACTGATACTATTTAACTTTTTATTTAAAAGTAGATTGATTGTTAAGTATATATAAAAAATTCATAGTGTCAGCAATATTTGTTTTAGTGTCAACAATATTTTGTTTTGAAAATGTTTTAAATAAAAAAATACCTTTAACTTATGTTAACATAAATAGCAATAACATCGATTTGTAACATTTACTTAAAAATAAATGTTTTATATTCAATAATATTTAATTTAAGTTTAATTTAATTTAACAAGTATTTAAAACTCTAGAGTAATTACACAGTAACCTGTTATAAATACTTTAAAATTTTTATTAAAATCAATGCTAGTTGCATTGTTAATTACAGAAGTAATTTGTAGAATAATAAGTTATTTTGCAGAAATAAAAGAAAGTTTGCTAAGTTAAAAGTGTTTTCGCAGGTTCAGAAGTTATTTTGCAAATTCGGCAATTATTATGTTTTAACTCGTTCACTGGCATGAAAAAATAGTTTTTTGGCATTTTATTTGAATATTTAAATCCTAGACATGAACGTGAAAGTATGAAGTATTATTATCCTGAACATCATTCTGAGGAAAAGTTATCCAAAGAATCGCTTATGTATTCTTCATATTTTACATATCTGGTTATAGGTGAAACATGAAATCGATTGACACACTGTTCATGTTATTAAAACGGCTTAGACTTTTTTTATTTAAATTTTATTTTCTGGTTTAAGACACCAAAATCTGCTGTTTCAAGATCTTATCATATGGTTAAATTTGATATACCTTTTAACTTGGTGCAATACTATTTTGGTCTAATTTAAAACACCAAAAACTTAACATGTCGTAATGTTTTAAATAGACTTATCCTAAAACAAAAGTTATTATTGACTGTTTTGTATTGGTTTGTCAAAGAAATTCAAACCTTACATTTAAAGTAGTTTGTTTACTGACTATAAGCACTATTTCATCTTTAAAAAATTAGTTGGAATTGCTTTTTATGGTGCAGTAACATTTTGTTAGTGAACTACTTGTTTTATTTCTGATAAAGTAGTTTGTTTACTGACTATAAGCACCATTTTATCTTTAAAAAATTAGTTGGAATTGCTTTTTATGGTGCAGTAATATTTTGTTAGTGAACTTCTTGTTTTATTTCTGATATTGAAGTAGTTAAGCACTAAGGACTTTTGAAAAGAGAGCTATCTCAGCAAACATATCAGCGTTGAATCAACGTTGAAAACCAGTCGCAGCGCTGAAAAAGCGTTACAGTCACAAAAACAACGTGCTTTCAATGTTGAATCAATGTCTTTTTTTGTATACTAAATCGCGGTAAATTGAAACGTTGAATAAGCGTTGAAATTGTTACGTAATTTAGCGTCTCAAAATATAACGTTTATTCAACGTGGAATCAACTTACGCAAAAAGCCACTTTTAAAGCATATGCTTTATCAACGTTAAAAACAAACCGCTTTTTAAACGTTAAATTTTCAACGTTGAATAAGCGTATAAATTTAAACGAATCTTATCTTCTCAAAAAAATCGCGTTTATTCAACGTTGAATAAAAGTACACAAATAATAATAACTTTAAAAACGTCGCAGAGTTTATTGTTTATCAACGCACGTAGGAGTATTTGACAATTTTTTGCTGGCCGAAATTGGAATTATTAAAAGTGGCCGCACCCACTTAATTACCTACCCTTATTATCTCTCGATAATGGTCGCCTAATGAGCAGTTAATGGTTTGGTTATAAAAGTAGTAATTGGAACTACACAGTCTAGTTAAATATCCAATCTATATCTGCGTGGTTCATTTTATTTACGAGCGATTTTAGTGGTGTTTATTGAAGCTGTGTACAAGTGTTTACAACAGAAGTTTTACAGTGTTATATCATGGATGAATCTATGACAGGTATGTACATTATTTACTCTTTTGAAATATTAATTACCACAAAAGTTATGTACCATGAAACTTAGCATTTTTTTAACGAATTTTAAAGTAAATTTTGACTTTAAAATTGAAAAAGTTGTAGTGCGCATTGAAACCCTTTTATATATATATATATATATATATATATATATATAAAAGGGTTTCAATGCGCACTACAACTTTTTCAATTTTATATTTATATATATATATATATATATATATATATATATATATATATATATATATATATATATATACAGATGGCATCAACTGCCTGTTGATGCCATCTAAATTTTAATTATGTTCTAAGCACATCAAGGTCCAAGATGAATTTTTCAACTTAATTTTTTTTTTCTAGATGGGTCATCAGAAATGCAAACAATCTCTCGTTTGGATTTCTACAACAGTATTCAGCAGCAGAAGGCTCCAAATTTCAATGAAAAAATGGACTTAGCTGATCAAAATTTGTTATCAAGAAATCAATATACCGAAGAACTAAAAACAGTATACAAGCGTCAAATGTCGAGGTTGAAAGCTATTTTTAGAAAAATGTGGTTGTCTTCATCCAGAATTCATGAAATATTTGTTAAGAAGCATGGCCCTTGGCTGCAAGGGAGTTTCCAAATACCGGGTACCCCATCCACTCCATCATCAGCCGGACGACCAAGAAAAAGTTTTGTCGATTCTAGTGAACGTTCAAAGAGAAGAAAAACAGAACAACTTAGGAAAGATGTGGAACCAGACGCTATTGTTTTTCAGCTGAAACTTGTTTGACAACAAGTGGCAAAAGAAGTGCTGCAACCGTCCTAAAAGATTTGAAAACATCTCCCAAACGAGCGGGAAAGTATAAAAAAACCTATCGCAGCAGTCTTGAACCTACAAAAAAATCATTGACACCGTTAGAGGTTCTTTTAATATTTACTGACGCAGGCCTAACAAAATCTCAATATAAAATCGTACGTACAAGAAGCAATGGCCCTGCTACAGTATTTCGGTCGAAGAAAAAAAAACATGCTATCCTGATCCTGATTCGTTCACAGTCACAGAAAGTTTAGCTGAAGTAGACTTACAAAGTCTGTTAAACCATACTGCCGAAAGATTGGTGTTGTATTTAGAAGAAGTTATCAAGACTCTAACGGAAAGTGGGTGTAAACATATGAAATTATCTACAAAATGGGATTGCGATGGTTCCCAGCAGACACAGTTTAATCAAAAGTTTGAGTATTACTCTAATTCTGATGCCAGTATATTTCAATGCTCAATGGTTCCATTACAGCTAACTTGTGGAGTAAATAAAAAGGTTATCTGGCAAAACCCTACACCATTGTCTCCAAAGTTTTGCAGGCCAATTCGAATTAGGTTCATAAAAGAAACTGCTGATGTAATAGCTGAAGAAATTGCTTACATGGAAAACAAAATTGCAGGCTTGAAACCAACTCAACTTCAAGACATAGCAGTAGAACATGTGATGATGTTAACTATGATTGACGGAAAAGTCTGTAACGCAGCAACCACCACTAAATCAACCATGCGATGTTATATTTGTGGAGCAACATCAAGACAATTTAATGATTTGGACAGAACATGTGTTGACAATCAAAGCAGCTACAAATTTGTACTATCCATTCTGCATTCTAGAATACGGTGTTTTGAAAGTCCCCTTCACCTATCATATAAATTGCCTGTAAAAAAATGGCAGAAAAGGCTGAATGAAGATGAGAAGAAACTCATCTCAGATAGGAAAAAAAAATCCAAGATGAATTCAAGAGCAAAATGGGCATTCTTGTCGACATACCTAAGGTAGGATTTGGGAATACCAATAACGGAAACACAAGCAAGAGATTCTTTAACGACCCGGAAACATCTGCAGATATCACTGGAGTAGACTTCCGTTTAATTTCCAGAATAAAAATTATCCTAGAAGTAATTTCCAGTGGCCACAAGATTGATGTAGAAAAGTTCAGACAGTATACTTTGGATACTTCAAAACTTTATGTGGAAATATACCCCTGGTGTCCAATGACTCCAACTCTGCATAAAGCTTTAGTACATGGTCCTGATATAGTAGAGAATGCGCTTTTGCCAATTGGACAATTGTCAGAAGAGGCTGCCGAAGCCAGAAACAAACATTTCCGGGAGTACAGATTTAGCTATGGTAGAAAATTTTCTAGAAAAGATTGTTACCAAGATATCATCAATAGGTTATTGTTAACATCCGACCCTCTGTTGTCCAGCATTGGGAAAAAGAAACAAAAACTTAAAAAGCCTTTTTCAAAAGAAGCTGTGGAATTGCTTCTTCCTGGAGAAGTCCAAGATTCCGACACTTGATATACTGCATAAAACTTTAGCAGAAACACTTTTGTTTTGTATTTAACTAATTCCTATGTGTGTACAAATAACCAACAAAACTTAATTTCTTTTACTTAAGTTTAATTTTGAAACTAAAAATTTAATCGCGTTACGTACAAGACAGTTCGTTAGGTACATGACATAACAGTGTAAAATGATGAAGTTTATCAAAAACACTACTTTATATATGCAGTAGGCTATTATAAACATTACGTTTAGTTAGTTTATCAAAAACTTTACATACAAAATTCAAGTAATTACCATGATCAGATCTAAATGACTGTTATTTGATAATTTAAGATTATTTTCATATGACTTAAACAGTGACTTAGATATAAGCAAATTAAAAAAACATGGAGAGTATTAAGTGCAGTAAACTAGTGAACGATATAGTGAAAACATGATGAACATTGATTAATCGTTTGCATTTATGCTCTGCCAATCTTCTTCACTTAGTACCATTGCACGTCTAGAAATTACAACCGGTGCTAAAGCTTTTTTGATTATTTGATCCCATTTATACCATATTTTGTCTTCACGAGTTGGATATTTGAATTTTTTTATTTCTGTCGTTTGTAATGTGGATACTTCCCATTCTGAAACTGCGTCTTTGTCAAATATCTGTCCAATGTAATGCTTATTATCGTATTGAATAATATACCAGTCGTGCACTTCGATCATAATAAGTTCAGCTGTCATTGGATGTTGTTCAA